AACGTCACCATGCGTAATCCCTTCATGGAATAGCTTCGGCATTTTCTTTCGGTCAGGCTTGACCAGAAACACATCATCTATGTAGATAAAAATGGATGTTAGTATCATATATGAGAGCGGTTAACTCCGATTCCGTGTGACCGATCTCCATGAAAGTTGGCACATCTATGTACATGTTTTTTCGCCCAAAAGGTTTATGTGCTGTTAATTTTGTTGTAACTTCCTTAGATGGCGCTAAAGAAGAAAATTGCGCTTCATTTTAATTCAATTTCCATTCCAACTGCGCTCCACCTGAGCTTCATTGTTGCTGAACTTTGCCGTGTGATGCAGGGCGAGGCCGAGATGGACAGGGCAGCGGGGCACGTAAGAGAGACAGAGAGCGACCGAGAGACAAGAGACAGACAGAAATAAATAGAGAGAGAGACAGATAGAAACAGATATAGATAGAGATAGAAATAGACCGAGGCAGACAAGCAGACTGCGACTAAGGTGCAGAAGCAGACAGCAAGATAGAGAAATAGAAACAGAGAAGGAGAAACAGAAAGAGAGGCAGAAAAAGAGAGACAGAAAGAGAGAGACAAAGACAGACACACAGAGTTAGAGAGACAAACAAAGGGGGTCAGAGTCAGACAGAAAGAGACAGAGATAACGGGAGACAGACGGAGAGACAGGCAGAGAGAGGCAGATACACAGACACAGATACAGAAAGCTGAAGAAAGGGAGGGAGAGGGACGGAGAGATGGATACAGATAGGGAGAGTGATAGAGAGAGGCCGAGACAGACAGAGTTATAGTGAGGTAAGGGCAGAAAGAGAGAGAGAGAGAAAGGGAGAGGGAAGAAGTAAGGGAGATGAAGGGCAGAACAGCGCGTGCTGGGTTCCGCTAGTTTCTTATATTATTTCAGTAGTATAGGTGAGCTTCGTTGCTCTCACACGCAATCTTGCCTCTCAAGAATTTCAGGATACGCGAGGATTTCACGGATTCGTGACGAATTCTATTTGACTTTGATAATATGAAGAATTTGTTTAAAAAAACTAATCTAAATATTCATTTCAGATACTACCCGCATTCCTCGGGCAGCATTGTTAAAATATGTATTATGATTAAGTAACCCGTAAAAGAACCGTTTTAGGAACATAAAGCCGAAAATATTGAGGTTAAAGACTTCAAAGAAACGTTCCTCACATTAAAATCAACCGAATAAGATGTTTTTATTATTTTTATAATAATAATAATAATAATAATAATAATAATAATAATAATAATAATAATAATAATGCCTTTATTAATGGCGACGTTCAGACCATAGGGCCTGCTCTTCCGCCTAACCACTGAATTTACAAACATATAGAGTAGTAACATTTCTTGGGCTTTCTCTTACGTTTTTGCTGGTCCGGTACCTCTCAATACTATTCCACCGACGTGAAGAATCAGCAACAGTATGAGAAATTAAACTAATTACTTGATATTCTATGCTACTGAACTGCATGGATCCGTTTGATAATAAAGTTAAATTATATTACAAAGAATAGGGTTGTGTTTGTCCGATACGAGTATTGTGTTTTGATACAGATTCATATTGTATTTCGGTATAGTCAACTTTACGTAGCTCCTTCAAAAGCAATAATATTTTCTAATATTTTTGTCATTATCAACGAAAGCGAAAATAAAACTCAAGGAAAGTCAAGGAAGATTGTATAAAGTAAAATTTGAAGTATCAAAGTATGTTTTTAAGTGTTGTTGGGAAGTATTGGAAGAACAACTTTAAAAAACTTTTATTGAAAATTTGTTTCCAAACTAATCGCATTATTGTTTTATTTGATATTCTATAAATATTTTTACTTATATTTTAAACAAAAAGCACTTTTTCTTAGCACTTACATGCACTACACTACCGCACATGCAGGGAGACCAATCGGGAGCTTAGAGCTAATCCCGAGTGGGGCGTAGACACGTCAGGGGAGATACGTGGAGGGGAAACCTTTAAGCCGCCGTGTGGGTCGGCGCCGGATCTCACCATCCAGTGGGACAGGAACACCGCCACCTCCGCTGGAAAACATTCACTATACTAGCTGGACTAACGTCATGAGTCGATGAAGAAGGCGCAGTGGTCGTGTGCCTGGGGGGTGTCCGTGGGGCTCTGCCTCGCCATTGGCGACCCGCGTGGGGCGCCTACGCGCTCCAGGGGCATCAAGTGCGTTGGACGAAGGGCGAAGTCGCCAGGCAGGAACGACGGTTGGGGCGAATGCCGGGCGCGGAACAACGATGTCTCAGGATTTCTCACTCAAGGCTCTTAAGCGCTAACGATATTTTCTACTTCTGATCAATGAGGATATGAGGTTTGCATGAAAGAAATACCACGCACTCGCTCAATTTCAACATCTACCCAAAATATCTAGGAAGAACTTTGATGTGTATCAATGTAAGTCCCAGGCGAGTCGCGCTCGGGCGCACACGGGCACACTAATGATTTGACTTTCGGAAACACATGATTAACCAAAATCAATAATTCTTACAATTACGGTTCTGGGGATCCTTGGTTGATACTGACAGCTACGGGCGTTTGGTGTGGTGTTGTCAATCGTTCCATATCTTGCATAGTTGGATGAATTTACAGCCTTATAAGATGCAGGGAAACCTGACTAAACGTCCCCACCAATTAAGCGGTCACCTCCATTAAGGCGTCCTAACGAATGAGCTAGGAACTTCCTTGCCCTATCCACTCCCCTTACTTACACACACACACACTTACCCTTACACGCCGTGTACTAACACAAATGCGGGGACACCAGTAGGGCGCTTATTGTGTGTCTTGACTGAGGCCGCACGCCGCTGGTGGGAGATACCTGGTTGCTGGAAAACTCGAAAGCGGGCGAGCAGTTCGGCGCCAGATGTAGCCAGCAGCGGGGGAGGACAACATACACCTCCCGCGATAAAACATGCACTACACTTTTGGGACTAATTACCTTAGCAATTGACGCGCCGAAAAATCACACATTAATCAATCCATTTCAAGACGTGTGGAAGAACCGTGGGGTCTGTGGGGTGTGGAAATTTGGGGAGCAGCGAAGGAAATGTGTACCGCCGCGGAACATCAAATCACAACTATTTGTTATTCAATTTTTTAAGATTACGAGGTTCGCGCGTAATGCTACAGCATTGCGGCAAGGTTCCCGCAAGGTTATACAGCAAGGTGCGCAAGATAACGCTGCAGCAGCACATACTTTCTTTAAAAGTGGGTTATTCACAAAACCTCAATAAAAATGGGACCCGCGTCATTCAAGCGTTCCTTGTTCGTTAAAAAAAAAATTGAAGAATGAAATAGAGCAGTGTTTGGAGAAATTTTGAAAATATTTTTGAGGCCTCATGTAAAGTACCCCCTGCAAATACAAAAACCAAACTCGTGGGCTCCCATAAATGGATGAGAGAGTATGCGTTTTGGAGAAAATCGGCTGAACGATTCAGGCGCGAGTTTTTGTGCCGAATATTCGCTGTTGTTTTTTGTCGCACAATTTCGATATTTTCTCTTCTTACGATGTAAAATTTGGAAAGTAAAAGGTAAAGTTCTGGCGAAAGAAACTGGCTGATGTCCGCAAGGGCCCCGGGGCGGTGGTTGATAAGGTTCTTCGGCCGGCGATTGGAGTGCGGAAGGCCGCGGAGAGGAGCCGTGGCTGGGTCCGTGGCCGGTGGCGGGGCGGGCGGGCGGGCGCTGGCGCTTCCCAGAAGGCGCGCGGCGCGTGGTGGGGGGCGGGGCCTGCGCCGCGTCGCGAGAGGCGCGGGAGCGCGTCCCAGGCGAGGCGCGCTCAGGGCGCACACGCACCGCGCCCCACATGGGGCCCCGCGCTCCCGCCCCCGCCCCCGCCGCCGTCGCCGCCGCCGCCGCCGCCGGCGCCGCCTAGCGCCAGCGCCAGCGCCCGCGCATTGAGCCCGGCGCCCGCGCGCCCGCAGCCACCGGTGAGTGACATACTAATGCCACACCACACTCATATTTTTGATATTGCTTTACACACACACGTTATATATATATATATATTTATATATATATATATAATATATATATATATGCACACACACATTGTGTGCGCGCGTGGTGTGCTTAGTAGATATGAGTGTGTGTATGCGTATTTTAGGAACATTCATTTTACGCTGCCATTTGAAACGGAAAATCCTTAGGATCTCTGTTTGTTTAACTCGGAGACTCTGTTAACGACACTGTATTTCTCGATTTGATGGTTTCTGGTCTAATCACAGAATGCGGGTGCGAGAAGCCGAGTTGATATAGGAAGGGGGTCGTGTCGGCCGGCCGCCGCCTCGCGTCTTCGTTGTGAATTCGGTGGAGTGGTAGCGCCGGGCGGCTTACGCAGGCGGCTGGCGCGCGGCGGGCGAAGGCTGTGGGCTGGCACCGCCGCGTCCGCGCCGCGCCGCCGGGGCACAAAACAACGGGCGGGCGAGGGTGAAATCCGCGGGCGGGGCGGCGCGGGCCCCCCTCGGCCTTTCTCCGCCGCCGCCCCCGCCGCGCACCCAACCGGAAAAGGAAGCGCGATCCCCCGCCCCCCCGCCTTCCACGGCCGCCGCCGCCGCCGCCGCTGCACCCGTTTCCCACCAAGCAACTCTCGCCGCGCGCCTCTCGCCTTCTTGGAACGGGACGGGACAGGAGGCTTCCCGGTGGGAGCCACTCCCGACCCTTCGCCTGCCCACGTTGCCCAGCGCGCATTCCGTTGCTCTGCGGCACTCGCGACTTCCAGATCTCGTGTAGTTCGTTTTTTTAGTTAACTTAGTGGAAAATCTCATTGGAAATCTTTTCTCCTTACACTTTCTTAATCGTGTTTTCATAAAGGGTTTTGAAGTTACAATACAGCAGTTCGTGAGCGTGTAGTTCAGGACTCGCCTTCACAAAATCGAAAAATCTATTCTGTTAAAATTGCCAAGCATGTTTCAAGAAATCAAAGTAACGTCTCATATGTTTAACAAACACAGTATTACTGATTTTATGGCAAAACTATGAATAGTATATTGAATGTTTCGTAGGCTAACTGCACCCCTCGCTATTCGAAAGATGCGAAAAATCTTGGTAGTCATGGGTTCAAATATCTTCAAATTACTTCGGGAAATAAACAAATTTCAAACAGTACACGGTATCAGTTTCAAACAGTACACGATTCAATAATTTTAAATTCTAAAAGACCAACAAACCAATTTGCAATGCAATTTAAGCAGCGAATTTCGGGAAGACTGCAGGAGTCATGGTCGGCGAGACCTAAAGGGGGGCAGGAGTCGTTCTCTAGTTTACTCTTTCTACTTAACAAATCGAACGAGTAAAAGGCGTCAACGACACCCCATTTACGAAAACGTTGAGTGTTGCTCCTGAAGTCGTCTGATCGTCTGTTCACCATCGTTCTGGTATCAAATACATAGATCAAAATAATCGAATTAGGAGGTAAAACTTGGGTTGCCAATTTGCTTTTGCTACAGTCCTAAATATATTTTGCCTAATGGTTTGATGCGGTAAATAAACATCTTCCTGCACCCTATACAATCACTTATTTCAATTACCATTTAAAAAACAATTCAGCTTTTACCAATGTTTAGAAAGTATTAAAACTGTACTCGTAGTATAATCTGAGAAAAAGTCATAGAGACAACAATCATTGTAACTGCTTACTCCCGCTATTACAATGCAGGTTAAACGGTGCATTGAAACCTAACCTTAAGACAGCAGGAGCGGTGGCTCAGGGTATCAATTAATGTCACTGCAGTGACTCTACCTGGGAGGTCCTAGTTTCGAGTTCCGACGGTGTCAGGTTTTTCGACACTATCTTGATAGCTAGATCGAGTTCTGCCGCTGTCTGAAGGAGAATTCTAGCGGTCGACAGCTCTGATCGGTAGTTTTCCGTGGTTTCTCCTATCAACACCAGGCGAATGCCGGAGCAGTACCATAAGAAACGGGCCATGAACCTCGCGAGATCTTGCTTTCCTTTTACCTTGTCCTATCACCTCCTACTTCCACTTTCGAGCCCTACACTACCATATACGCCCGGAAACCGGTCGGGAGCTTAGAGCGTGTCCCGGCTGGGGCAGTGCCCCGCTGGAGGGAGATACCTGGTTAGGGAAAACCGATGCACCGGATGTCGCCATTCAGCGGAGGAAGATCACCGCTACTTCTCGCGATAAAACAAGCAGTACACTTACGGGACTAATGACCTCAGCAGCTGAATCACTAATGAATCAATCTAGCCTTAAGCCACCGCAAGGCGGAAGACGTGCGCGCTGCCTGAAGCGCGTGCGCGAAGCCCCCCCCTCCCTCCTGACCTCAGGCGCGTGGCTGCAATGCAGCACGTGGCCCCTTCCGGAGCGCTCTCATCTCCAGCCATTACAACCCACTTTTTATGCTATTTTAATCGTTAGAATTAATTTTACAGGGAATCTTATTTTTAGGAATAGTTTTTATATACAATATTTATGTCATCAGTGCCTAGTAGAGAAAATGATATAAAATATCTATGTAAATATTCATTTAAGTACTCGCAAATATTAAAATAATTTAAAAAAAAAACATTTTTTTGATTTTACATTTGCCAACTGCGCATGCCTTGCTACAGCAACCGCAAACACCAATAAAAATTGAAACCAGTATGACAATAGGAAGACTAAATTTGACTCATTACAAAAGTGCCTTTCACTTTTAAAATGTAATTAATCCATTCTTTTTAAAGAAAATAATTAATTTCCGTAATTAAAAATGATCATTCAACGTTTTTCACGGACGTAAAATAATGAAATGGCGACGTAGCACGTGCGAAATCTTCTATACGCCTCCGCTGTAGGCTGCAACCCGCTACGCGCCCACGCCTATCAAAGGCTTTGAATGATATCAATTAATTCGTTAATTGTAGATTAATTGAATTTTCAGCACTCGTAGATGGAAAATTGTACTTACTTTCCCTGTAAATTATTTGGAAAGTGATACTTTGTGGTATGCAAATGCACTTTGCCGTACGCCTACCGTAAAGAAGTCATGGACAAATAAAACAATTGGGTACCGTAACGTAAACAAACCTTGGGATGACATGAGTCAACATAACTGCTGCCTCGCGTAAGAAAGATCCCAAAACTTGTATGTTTACATTAGAACGTACAAAAAATAATGTATACAGCTTGTACGAAAGTGCCTTTGGCGTACTTGTTTCAAAATGCCGGACTCGGCTTGTATCGTCGCCTCGTACATCATGGCTCGGTATCTGTACTATTTACGTAAATAAATATTGCACGACTAATTAAGAAACATCCTCCTAAGTGATTTAGGGATGCTAGCGATGTAGGGATGCGAGCGTTTTGTTACGTAAACTAAAACCAACTACTCGAAAATAGTCAGAAACTGTCTTTCATTAATGCAAATTTGATTCGCCACTCCAGTTTCGTCATGACCAGACTATTGCCAGCCAAGGGATAAAAAAGTAAAGTCGAATAAACCCGTACACGTTAGATTGAAGTTTTAGTAAATGTAGGTGAATAAATGCTGTGATGGATGCAGAGGTATTGTGATAATCCTTAATGTTTAAGGATCCAGTAGGTATCAATCCCAAAGTGTATTTAAAAATATATTTATTATTGAAAATAATTAGCCATACACATGTTTTGGGAATCTTTTCTTCTCTGAAGAAGCAGTGAAGATGGAGTAGGATTCCAGAAACATGTGTATGGCTAATTATTTTCTATATTAAATATATTTTGAAATACATTTTGTAGTTCATACATTCAGGAACCTTAATAATGTGTGTGATTATTTCAATGAGAAATATATGAAAGAAATATTGTGAAGGAAGCTCAAAAAATTACTAGGTTGGAGTAATAGCACCCAAGTGTTGGAGCTAGTATTATGGAATAAACGCCATGCCATTTTTTCCCTTGGTTGTAATTGGACCTTGGGGGCATTTATTGGATTATTTTGTTAATAGAGAAAGGGAATGTGAAGTTGTTGCTAATTCACTAACAACTTCAATTTTTTGTTTTATTCGAGTTCGACTCATTCACGTATTTCAATTTTTATTTTATTGATAACATTGGAAGATATTTTAAAATGAGAACACATGTGCATTTTTAAACAAATAGAAATATGGAACTGAGATAATTATTTCTAGAATATTCTAGGAATATAGTAGTATCAAATAAAAGTCATCAAAAGTGTTGTTAGAGAAAGTAATTTACTATGTAAATGAACCAGATTTGTCCACTTTTTTGACATTAGGATCCCACAAAACCAGTTAGTATTTTAAGAACAATCGCCACTTTCCAGTGCAAAAGTATCTTTACTACGTAAGTACGTAGTATGCGAAACAGATATCTGAAGAGGTGGATTTTAATAACTCTTATATAAAACGTTCACGCTATGATTATCTGAGACAAAATAATTCAATAGAATGATTAATGATGAATTGATGAATTTATATATTTTAGAGAAAATTCTATGTTTTGAAAATGCCACCTGCGTGTTTTGAGACAAACGTTCTCTACAATCAAGATTTGTGTTTTAGACTCATGTAAGTTCTGTATTTGTTATTTTCAGTTTTGCAAAAAAATGATACGAAATATATTGATAATTTGAAATTCGGATCCCTTCAAGAAAATACAGTGAAGTAAAGTGAAACCCTGAACGATTTAATACTAGATTATTGTATTAAATGTTCAAATCTTTCTATACGCCATCCATCATTTTAAAATTTTTATCCACAATAAATTCGACTATTCGTGATTTCTTCTGGATTTGAGTGAGTCTGAAAAGTAGGTAATCTATATCAATTTCCTCTAAAGTTAAATGTTTATCTGCAAGAACTATCGTAAGTTATGATTACGTTGCCGTTAGTCGATAAATGGTCTATGTATAATGTGTCGTGTGTGAGAGCGCGCGTCTGGTCCGCGTAGACACTCGCGTGCTCCGAAGGGAAGTGAAGACCAGCGACAGGTAGAATATGGGTGCAGATAACACGTCAGCAACTGCAGCCTGTGCGACGCCGCGGCGGCGCCGAATCCCCGGAAGAGCGAGCAACAGATCGAGCGCCAGCGATGACTGCTCGCTGACCGCGAGCCTACGACTATCCTGTATCGGCGTGCGTAAAAAAAATCCGATACTTTATTGTTAAGAGAGAGACATAACAGATAGTCCTCCCAATCAGAGCTTAATGTGAATTCAAATGAGCTCCCAGTCAGAGCTTAATGATACTAAGGCGCAGGTTGCTACAAAATTTTCGAAAAATTGAACAATTATAGGTTAAAGATTGACTTAGATGTTATTGTGTGATATTTTGGTGATCTTTTTCGTCCTCGTCGCAATTAATAAATATCCAAGCTTCGCCGGAATTCGAACCACTACAGTGATAACTGGTTGTCACCGCAACAATTTAATTTGGACGCATTAAAAAGAAAATTCTGCCGCGGAAAATACGGTATTCCGTAATTGTAACGTATTGTATTTTCGATGCAGGTCTCTCTCATTTTCTATACAATATTATTGACATTTTTTTTTTTTTTTTGCTTTATGACCATAAGAACAGTAAAAGAAATGACAGAGAGAATTAAACTGCACCTTTCTTTAGCTTCTGAATCAGTACCCTCTCTTCTCTCTTTTACTACGCTTAGTGTATCAGTCATGGATACAAATAGCAATGGGCGTTTTTGGCACGTTTGATCACAAGACAGATGTAATTTAATAGAAACTACCTGCATCGGTGAACGAGCTTCATTTTTGCTTTGAGTGCTGTTGTCGAAGTAATTAAACCCTTCCCTCCTTCCGCAAGGAGCAAGAAACGCAGCGTAACACAACTCTCACAAGGTGGGCAGGTGCATTTACTGGCAAGAAATAAAGAAATGGACATCTCGGCATTTGCTCAATCGATTAAGTGAAATTGACGAAGTACCTAATCGAGATTGGAGGTCCTTGGCCTGCTGAAAAACTGAATTACATTCCTTGTTACATCCACATTTAGTATTTTAAAAATATTCAATACAAATTAA